AGCCTGGCCCAACCCTGGCTGTTGTGGCTATTAGGGGAGTGAACTGGAGGAGGGAAGATCTCTCTATGTCTTTCCCTTTTTCTCTATAACTGACTTTCACCTAAATAAATAATCTTTTTTTTTTTAAATTTTTGACAGGCAGAGTGGACAGTGAGAGAGAGAGAGACAGAGAGAAAGGTCTTCCTTTGCCGTTGGTTCACCCTCCAATGGCCGCTGCGGCCGGCGCACTGCGGCCGGCACACCACGCTGATCCGATGGCAGGAGCCAAATACTTATCCTGGTCTCCCATGGGGTGCAGGGCCCAAGCACTTGGGCCATCCTCCACTGCACTCCCTGGCCACAGCAGAGAGCTGGCCTGGAAGAGGGGCAACCGGGACAGAATCCAGTGACCCGACTAAATAAATAATCTTAAAAACAGAGAGAACATGAAGCCCCCGCACCCCCCCTGCATGTATTATCGTGAGGGCTCTTCAAAGAGCTCATGGAAATGGAATTAAGAGGGGATTTTTCTCATGGTGCAAAAATTTTTACATCCATGCATAGTTTTTTTTTTCATAATACACATTTTCTACGGACTTTCTGACACGCCCACACACGCCCGTGTGAGGAGATAATGGAATAATGGACTGGACAGTGGCAGTGCACCGTGTCCGTAGCAGCCGGGATCCTTTGCTTTTAGCCTTTTACCTCTGAGTCTTCTCGGGTCAACCTGTGCTTGCCTTTCACATGATCCCGTCTCTCTCCTGTCTTGCTCTCAGCGTGTCCGCCCCATCTCCTCCCCTCGAGCCCCCCCTCCCCCCGCCCGGCCATGTACCACTGCTTGCCTACCTGGGGTTCCTTTCGCTGATCTTCAGATGCACCAAGCTCCGCCCTGCCCCAGGGCCTTGGAATTTTCCACTGTCTGCCTGGCGCCGTCTGTTGCCCTCCAGCTCCTCGTGGGTCCTTCGCTTACCCTCTTCAGTTCCCGGTTCAATGTCTTCCTTGAATACCTCTGCGAAAATGATCTCCCCTCGCCCAGCAGTCATCCTGTCTCCTATTTCACTGCTGTATCTTTTTTTTTTTTTTTTTAAAGATTTATTTATTTATTTGAAAGGCAGAGTTACAGAGAGAGAGGAGGAGAGATGCAGAGAGAGGTCTTCCATCTGCTGGTTCACTCCCCAAATGGCCCCACATGTAGGGCTGGGCAGGTCTGAAGCCAGGAGCCAGGAGGTTTCTCCAGGTCCCCCACTCAGGTACAGAGGCCCAAGCACTTGGGCCATCTTCTGCTGCTTTCCCATTCCATCAGCAGAGAGCTGGATTGGAAGTGGGGCAGCCGGGACTAGAACCGGCACACATACAGGATGCCGGCATTGCAGGCAGAGGCTTAGCCCCCTACACAACAGCGCTAGATCAATCACTGCTTTATCTTTAGTGTGGCCTTATGACTATGCAAAAGGATCCTGCACTCTTATTGTCTAATTATAAAAGACAGGGCCCTTCCGGCGCTGCGGCTCACTAGGCTAATCCTCCGCCTTGCGGCGCCGGCACACCGGGTTCTAGTCCTGGTCGGGGCGCCGGATTCTGTCCCGGTTGCCCCTCTTCCAGGCCAGCTCTCTGCTGTGGCCAGGGAGTGCAGTGGAGGATGGCCCAAGTGCTTGGGCCCTGCACCCCATGGGAGACCAGGAGAAGCACCTGGCTCCTGGCTTTGGATCGGCATAGCTCCAGCCATAGCAGCCATTTTGGGGGTGAACCAATGTGAAACCTTCTCCCTGTTTGTAACTCTACCTGTCAAATAAATAAATAAATCTTAAAAAAAAAAAAAAAAAAAGACAGGGTCTTCGGCACCTCGTGCCCAGATGTAGGAGATGCTCAGCGAATGTCGAAGGAACTTTTTTTTTTTTTTTTAAAGATTTATTTATTTGAAAGGCAGAGTTACAGAGAGGGAGAGGGAGAGGGAGAGGAAGAGAGAGAGAGAGAGAGAGAGGTCTTCCATTGGCTGGTTCACTCCCCAAATGGCCGCGACAGCCAGAGCTGGACTGATGCGGAGCCAGGAGCTTCTTCCGGGTCTCCCACGTGGGTGCAGGGGCCCAAGGACCTGGGCCGTCCTCCACTGCTTTCCCAGGCCACAGCAGAGAGCTGGATCAGAAGTGGAGCAGCTTGGAGTCGAACCAGAGCCCATATGAGATGCTGACACTGCAGGCGGCAGCTTTACCTGCTATGCCCTAGTGCCGGCCCCGTAGGGACAAGATATTGTGCAGTGACGCTGATCGGCTCTTCTTCGACTTAGCCTCCCGTCCTGGGGGTGGGCAGGTGGCCTTTCTCCATATCTTTGACTGCTGTGCCCCCAGTAGCTGTCTGTGGTTCTGAGACCCCGGGCTATGGACCTGTCCTTGGTGCTGAGCTGGGTTTCTGCTTCCATTGAGCTGGGGAGGGAGGTGGGGAAACCTTGGGGAGGGGCCATGGGGTGTGGAGACGGAGGCAGGGGGTCATCCGCCTCCCTGAGAGAAGGCAGATCTCTGCGTCCCCATGGGAGAGGGGGTGTGGGCCTCTGACAGCTCAGTGTGCACTTGATCTCTCTGGTCACACGTACATACACATTCTCTGTGTGTGTGTGTGTGTGTGTGTGTGTGTCATGTAGAAGTTCAAACATACAGACATGAACAGAACAGCACCAAATCCCTTCAGGGGGCCTGTGTTGTGGTGCAGCGGGTTAGGTCATCAGTTGCAACGCCGACATCCCTTATCAGAACACCTGTTGGAGTCCTGGCTGCTCCGCTTCCAATCCAGCTCCCTGCTGATGCGCCCAGGAGGCAGAGGAAGGTGGTCCAAATACTTAGGACCCAAAGCCCTCACACGGCTTTCTCGGCTCCCCCGTCTCCCTTCAGCTGTGGACGGTAAGTCACTCCCACCCCTGTCGTCGGGTGCAGGGCCACAGAACAGTGCAGGAGTCGGTTCTTGCTGTAATCAAATGCAAGGCAGAACGGTGTCCAGGTTCACTCCCACTGATTCCAGCCCCTCCCAGGGGGCGGAGCATTCTCCAGGCCACTCCTGCAAAGCACCAGGTGATGGCTTGCTTTGCAGCGAAAGTATTGCTTCATGTCCTGGGGATGCTTTTGCCTTCATCTTTATCTGTTTCTCTTATTTTTTCCTTTCTCTTTTTAAAAGAGAGTTATTATTTGAAAGGTAGAGTTATTATTTGAAAGGTAGAGTTATTATTTGAAAGGCAGAAGCAGAAAGAGAGAGGAGAGACAGAGAGAGAGAGAGGTCTTCTATCTGCTCGTCTGCTCCCCAAATGGCCACATGGGCTGGAGCTGCGCTGATCTGAAGCCAGGAGCCAGGAGCTTCTTCCAGGTCTCCCACGTGGGTGCAGGGGCCCAAGGACTTGGGACATCTTCCACTGCTTTCCCAGGCCGTAGCAGAGAGCTGGATTGGAAGTGGAGCAGCCAGGACACAAACTGGTGCCCATATGGGATACTGGCACTGCAAGGGGGTGGCCTTACCCACTACGCCATGGATTGGCCTTAGTTTGATTTTCCTTGAAAAATTATTTTATTTACCTGAAAGGCAGACTGACATAGAAAGGAGAGATGAGAAAGGGATCTCCCATCTGCATGTTCTCCCCACGAATGGCTGCAACAGCCAGGGCTGGGCCAGGCTGAAGCCAGGAGCCCAGAATTCCATCTGGGTCTCCCACGTGGGTGCAGGGGTCCAAACACTTGGGCCATCTTCCACTGCTTTCCCAGGTGTATCAGCAGGGAGCTGGATGGGAAGTGGAGCAGCCAGACTTCAGCTAACTTTTC